TCGGGGAGTATTAAAATTAGAAACATTCCATTTTGTTGTTCTGTATTTGGCTACGCCTCCGCCCTGGATGCCACACAGACCATCCTGTCAGATGCAGTTTATGTTTTGCACCAATTGGGAAAAAAGATTGACAGCGAAAGTTGGGCATTTTTTTTTTGTGTGTTTTGTTGTTTGATATTTCTTTTTCAGATGAGAGAGATAAACTACCCCTGCTCCCGGGATGAAAGTTAGTATGGATCAGCAGGATATATGAGCTCACTTTGGGCTCAAAAGCCACAAATATGAATTAAGAACGATCCGGGAGAAAAGTCAACTGGAGACTGAAACGGGATATCAGTAAATCTACGCACACACAATAGGTCTGCCAGACCAACGGCATTCACTCAAGACCGTGGATTGAGCGATGTGGGGTGCCACCCATCGGTGTCGGCTACTTTTGCAGTATCACGGAGGGCCACTTGAGACCCACTGCATACTTCTCAGCAAAACTCTGGTCCGTGGCAGCAGGGATTGCACTCGCTGCCTTGCGGGCTCTGTGGCAGACGCTGAGAGTAAGCCGTCCCTTGCATCACGTGACCTGTGGGATACACTGAACTAACTTTGCTTTGTGCCCCTTGCAGTTTCCCTGACTCCCTGTTAGATGCAGAGAGGGGCCTCCGCCATCTGCGGCTCGTTGGCTGGGGTACAACACGGTGATCTTTGAATACGAGTGAAGGCATGCACACAGCTGCAACCCCTCCTCGCTGCTGTCCACGCCAGAGGGAAGGGGAGGCACATGCTGTATCGCCACTACTAGAACGATATGCACTCCAGGCCAGACATGAAAGAGGTGCCTTTGACTAAACCTGACTTGTTTTTTTTTTTATACAGACGGTAGTCCGCGTTCCGTGACAACACTGGATAGACACCGCGTCGGCTATGCATGTGTGATTCTGATTTTTGATACTTTAGACTCTGGGTAGTTTTGCACCCACCATCTATTCAGCTACAAACAGCTGTACTGGCTCGGCGCCCACCGGGGCTGGGCAGGGGCGCAAACGAGTTAACATATTCTGTGATACGCGTCTATGGTTTTTCTCTGTTGGTGCCGAGCTGGGAAAAGCACTGTTGGAAACACCGCATTTTTATGAAATCTGATGGGAAACCAATTCTTAATTTCCACACAGGTTGAACGTTTGCTCTGCTGAGAGCTGTAAGTTGCCCTTTTAGAGATCGCTGTATGGCCCCCCCCAAATGCCAGGCCACACTAATGCCACTGATCCCATCTTTGCAGGGAATGGCGCAGCACTGCCTTCTGCGGACATAGGCAGCGGCATACGCACTCTACCACACCCACACACAACTTACCTCCCTCAAGACGCTTGATTATATTCTACTCCAGCAGAGACGCTGCTGTGGGAGGGAATGGGGCTCAAACGACGGCATGGGTGAATGTGTGTGTGGCTTGGGCACTCAGAAAGCAAACCGTGTCCTACCACGTGCATTTCTTCAGACAGTTTGCAAATTCTTAGTACGTGCGATGGTCTGAGACATGCCTTCAAAAGGAGGGTGATGTGTGAATTAATCACCACAAAATTGGTTATTAAAAAGTGGGTTTACCGGGCATTTGGCACAGAAGATTCAGCAAACAAGCGCTATATTGCCTCGCGCACAACACAGTGGTAAGTCCCAAAAGTTATCCAAAAGGTGATCATCCTCCCTCCCCAGCCCCTAGCGCCCATTTCAACATGTCCAAAGGGCGACTTTGTTGAACTGCTCACGCCCATGCCAAGGAGGTAATACTTCTGGGTCTTGGCGGTATCTCTGGTCCAAATGGATCTGAGAGTATTTGCAGGCATACACGCCACGAGCAACGCGCCGTGGCGTGCGGTTGAAAGCTCTGACTCAAAGAAAATTGTGCCTACGATGGGGTGTCCCGAGGAAAGAAATCTGTGGGCAATGGCAGTAACTTCTGTAGCAAAAGTCATTGAGGGGAAGTGGTGTGGAATTTTCTGGCATTCGATAAACGTAGAAACACTGCAGTTACGCCCCCTGGTCCGGAGGCAACCTACGGGATGCGAGCGGAGAGAGAATGGCACTCAAAGCTCTGCCGCTAGCCCCACGCATGGGCGCGGGGGGGGACCCCCGTACAGAGATCTGCCAAGACCTCTTGTTTGGATGACGACCATGGCTGTCCTATTGTAGGAAATTAATGCACTTTGAGTCCTCTATTTTCCTTCCCACGGTCGAGTGAGCGCCCTGCCACAGGCTGCGCTAGGCGGGACTGGGCCTGGTGAGAGGAAACGAGGACGAACAGCACTGGCGGTGCCAAGCGCTGGCTCGGCCCATTCCTCTCCGCCTCTCCTGGTGACGGCACTCCTTTAAGGTCGCGGAGAGGCAACTTGGTATCCACGCCAACCACTGTCGGGCGGGGCTTCCACTGAGGGCCATTAGGACGAGGACACCGACCGGGCTTTTGCGGACGACCAGGACCATCCGCGGACTCCTCCTTACGTGTAAGAAGTTGGCCGGCGTGCGGCACCGTCGAGTGAAGCGGCCAACAACAACACCCAGAGAAATCCCAGCGTTCCCGAGGCGACCCCCCTTCTTGCCCAACTCACCAGCCCGCCGGATCCCAAGGCTTTGGGAGCCATGAAGGCCCTGAGCGCTGCTGCTCAGCTGCAGCAAGTATGCAGACCTGAGCTGACTGCCCATCCACAGCATTTTCTCCCAGAGCTTGCTCCTCTGGCCATAATGCCAGATTTGAGCTCTGCTGGAGTGCCCTGGTTGTTCTCGTCTCCGTGTGTCGGAGAAGGTGAGGGAGGATTGAGGGCTGCTCTACTGTACCTGATGAGGCACCTGGTGAAAGCAGTCGTGCTGATCTATGAGTGACTCCTCATCAAGAAGAAGCTTTGCGCCTGGTCGATCAGGAGCATTGCTCAAAGGCCATGGTCCTCCACACCAAACCCGGAGCACTCTGACCAACCTGTTTAATGTATGAGTGCTGAGGCAATGGGCTTCAACGCAATTAGAGTCTTGCCGCTCCAAGACTCCAAACATCGCATGGACCCACTAACGCTCCACACACGCTCATGGGTAGCGGTTCCAAGACTGCTGAGACGGCACATGCTCCGATGAGTGATTCAAGGGAAAAGACTTACCGATACGTAGTCTCGGCTAAGACCGGCTATGGGCCTTGGACTGTTATGCTGGCCACACTGACTACTACTTTCCGTGCTGACGTTGTTTATTATGTTATATTGCATCTTACTCATATCGCTGTCCGGATCCATTGGTTACTTATAATGTTGCTCTTTTCTTTTATTTGAATGCATGTTTCTTTTTTCTTGTCCGCACTTTGAGACAGCAATAATTTAAGTGTTTCAAGCTTGAAGGTGGTGTGATTAAGATGCCTCTGGATTTAATCTGATTAATGCAAAAATGGTTTTTGAATTATCAAAAGGGGGAGATTATTTTGAGAGTGATCCGGTGACAGCTTTTTGGAAAGTAATTACATAAAACCAGCCGCAGCAACTACGACGGACGTCCAAAGGCCTTTTTTATCAATGCAGAGACGCCTTCTGACGCGCATGCTGTAGATTTGTTGAGGCTCATGCTGTCTGTCACACTCCCTTGTGTCTTAGTGGTCTAGCATTGTATGACCTGCATTTAGACCATTGGTCTGTCTGTTCACGCACTCGTTCCCAGACTGCTCCAAACGCTCCCCATGCTCCTCCACACGATAGTCCCCCTCCCAAATTAATTGTTGCGTGTCATACACACTATATATAAATACACCCTTTTTTTCCCCCCAATTTTCAATTCCTCAATTTTCCCCATCATCAAAATCTATACATACTAATTCACACCTCCCTATCCTAAAACCCCACACCCCACCTCCAAAATCACTCCCCCTTCCAATCAAAAACAAACCATTTTACACACCAAACATCACCCCCATTCTACCTCCCTACACACCCCATAAACTCCCCCCTCTTTCATCCACCCTCCCCTCTCCTCATCCTTTCTCCCCTAACTTAACTTCCCCTTCTTCCAACAAAAACTTATCCTCAACTCTTCTCCCCTCATTCTTCCTTCTTCCACCCATCACAATTCTCTCATCCATCACCCCCTCCTCAAACAACCCCCATCCCAAAAACCCAAACATACTCACTAAATCCATATTTTATCTAACTAAAAAAATTCCCTCTTTCTATATATCCAATCTTATTCTCTCACCACCTAACCCAAACACACAAAAACACTCTCTCACCTTTCCTAACAAATTACTCCCCCTATAAAACTCAACAAAAATAAACTTTCCACCCCCCCAAAAATCAAACCCAACATCCACCTACCACAAACACCTTTCAAAAACCCCTCCCAAAAAAACACCTAACATATCCCACCCCCCCTCCCCCCCTCTCCATACATAACCCATAATCTTCCTTTTCATCTAACATCCCCCCACCCCCCCATCTTCTTCATAAACCCACACACCTTCTTAATATTCATAAATCCTCACTTACCTCCCCCCCCCCCTTCCTCCCCCTCAAATCCCCACTACTCCCCCCACCTTCCCATTTATACCTTATCCATAATAAATCTTACATCCCCCCAATACTCCCCTTTCCCCTCCCCCTCTAATCTTCCCATCTCTAAACCACCACCCTAATCCCATCATCACCTCATACCCTCCCAACCACCCCCATCCAACAATCCCCATCTAAACCTCTTCCTTCCATCCCACACCCCCCTTCTTCACCCAATTCCCTTCCCCCACACCCTCCCCCCAACCAACAAACCAATCATCCCACCACACCATAATTCCCCCACTCTATTACCATCTACCCAATTACCAAATTCAATTTCCATCCTCACCTCCACTCCCCCATCATATCTCCTCCTTCCCCCCAATACTCCCATCCCCCCTTTCCTCTACCTATACCAATTACTCCCCCCCCCCCTTCCCTTTTTCTCACTACCCACTCACACCAATACCCTCTCCCCCCTCTTAATCCCTAATCATCCCACCCCTCTTCCCCCCCCCCCAACCAATCCCCCACACCCACAACACCCCCAAACTCCAAACAACCCCCACCCACTTCCACACACCCTAACCCTACCCCCCCCACACCCAACATCACCTCCCCACCCTCACCCCCCCCACTACACCCAAAATACTACCCCCAAATATACCCCCCCAAAACCCCACCCCCCCACTACCAAACAACCAATACCCCCAATCCCCTTCCTCCATCCCCCCCCACACCTCCCACACACCCCACCCACCACACACCACCTCCCCCCCCCCCCACCCCACCCCACCCAACACACCCCCCCCCCCCCCCCCCACCCCCACCACCACCCCAAAACAACCCCCCCAACCAACCCCAACCCCACCCCCAATCTTACCCCCACCCTAACACCCCCCCCCAAACCCCCCCACCCCCCTACCAAACAAACCACCACCAACAACACCCCCCCCCACCCCCAACCCCACCCACCCCCACAACCACCAACCCACACACACAAAACACCCCCCTCAAACCACCCCCCCCACACCCCCCCCACACACAAAACCCACCCCCCACCCCCCCCCCCCCCCAACTACCACCTCCAAACCTACCCACCAACCCCCCACCCCCCCCAAAAAACCCCCCAATACCAACCACCCCCAAAACCCCACCCAACCCCCCCCCCCCACACACCCCCCAACACACCACCCAAACACACACCCCCCAACCCCCAACACCCCCCACAACCCCCCTCACCCACACACCCAACACCCACCCCAATACCCCCCCAACAACAAAACCCCACCCACCCCTAAAAAACATATCTTCATCACAAAAAAAACCCCAAATTCACACAACACACCATCCAGACCCAATACCTCCCCCCCCCATCCCACCCCCCACACCACCCACCACCCCCCCCCCCCCCCACCACCCCCCCCAAAAAACCCCCACCCCTCACCCCACCACCACCCCCCACAACCCCAACCACCCAAACCCCACCCACACCCCCCCCCCACACACCAAACACAACCACCCCCCACCAACAATACCACAAACCATAAACCTAACCCCCCACCCCCCACCAAAACTCATCGTACCACCTCCCAACCCCCCTCTACACCACCCATCCACACCATCCCCCCTATCCAAACCACCCTCCTACATAACATACCCCACCCAACCACCACCCCAAAACTTACTTAAACACCAACACTTAACCACCATTCACCCTTCCCACCACCAAAATCATACCATTAACCCCATCACCCACCCCCCACCCATCACCCTCAACAAAAACTAACAATACACCCAATAAACCACATACACTCAATAAAAAACAAATCCATCAAAAACCACATACAACCTCAAACTCCTAAAACAACACAAACCCTTAAACACCCCCTACCCCCATACCTACATTTACAACTCAACACCCTAAAACCCCTACCCCCCCTCCCACCCCACCCAAAAATACCAATCAAACAACATACAAAAATCACCTACATCCATCCCATAAACACCCCAAAAACAACACCACCCCCCAAACACCTCCTACCCACACCCCAGCATACTATCCATAATAACTACCTAATCAAACCACCCCCCTTCCCTATTAAACAAATTCCCTTCTTCACACCAATCCTTCTACCCCAATCCAATAAAATAAATCACCCCCATCCCATCCCCACTACCATTAATTAAAACATTATCTACCATACACACAACCAACATACCCTAATCAACCTCCCTCCCCTACCCCAATAAAACATAACACCACCCCCACATATTTCCCCCCATTCTCTTCATACCACTTACCACCACCAACCATAAAACAAAATTTCAATAACACAACCCCCATACTCCACCCCCATTAATCATCATCTTACCAATCCAACCACATACCCTCCTTAACCTTCTCCTAACCTTATCTCCAAACATTACCCACTTCTTCCTCCCCATACCCCTAACACATCCTCTAACTTATCCACCTCCAACATAAACATTACCAATCTCCCCATAGACCACACCCCCCAACCCATCCCTCCAACCCCCCATCATTAAAACAACCACATAATCCCCATTTTCACTACATAATATTAAAATTCCTCTCCATCCCCCCCCCCACCCCCCCACCATCATCTCTACCCCCCACCACACCTTAAATACCAAAAATCACCCTACCCTCCCTACACCCCCAACCCTCCCTATCAATTAATACATTCATAAATCATCATCCCCACCCTACAAACCCCCCCATTCTATAACCCCCCCACCCCCCAACACCCTCATCCCCCATCAACCTCCCCTAACCCAACCCCCCTTAAACAAACCACACCCCCCCTCCACACCCCCCTCCATAACTTCCCCCCCCTACCCCACACCAACAACACACACACCCCACACCTCTACCACCAAATCTATTTCTCACCCCCACCCTACCCCCACTCCCCATTAGACCACTCCTCACCGCCATCCACTTGCCTCTCTCGTCACCTCCACCTCCCAACACTGTCAGTCTACATACAGTCTGCCCCACCTCTATATAGTGAGACTCCATACTGACCTGTATTAGTTCACTACCGCTTGTCTGTCTTGTTTGTTATACTGTTATATTCCCTTACTACTACTGTCGCAACCCCATCTGAGTGATTGTCCCTCTTTGCCAGACCTCATATCCCCCATCCAGTATTCTCTCCAGCCATCCTAAGTCACCATACCACTTAACTACGTCTGTTCCTCGCTAGGTCGCACTCCACATCTGATCCCCCATCATGATCATACTCCACAATGTCTCTCACACCCCCTGACTGTGTCAACTTGTGTCACTTTGCTATCCTCTACTGTGTCCCATATAATATGTGCAAATCTCTCAATCCCCTCTCCTTACCTACACTTGTACCCCTCACGTCCTCACGTGTGTCTATCGCCACATGTGTATATCTCACCACCTCTGACCTAGTGTCAGATCCTACAGATCCTCTTCCTTGTCTGTCGGTAGTGCCAGTGTCTCCCAATTTGTCCACTCTGACTACGTGCACGTCACATACTCCCACACACTTACAGACCAGTGTTACGTTCGTCTTCGCACTCCTGTCCTTATGTGTGTGTCAATCTCACTCACGCAGTCTCTTTCTCCCCCAGTGCTCCTCCCACCCACCCCACACACACATCTCACTTTGTCCACGCTTTGAGTCCTGTCTACTATAACACATCCTTACTAGTGTGTCCCCCCTCCTTGGTCATCCCCCATCACCACACCTGAGCTGTTCTTCCGTTTTATCAATCTCTCCCACTATGCATGTCCCACTACGTGTACCTCCCTCTCTGTTGATCCTCTCGCCCTCTCTCCCTGTCATTCCCAACTTCTGATGTGTTGTCCCTCATCTATTCATACTCTTCCCATTGCGCTCCATCTGTCTGTCTTTATAACTGTGCTATCTAACTTTATGACCTGTCTTTGTCACATCTTCTCTCACACCCTCTCAATGTCCTGCTCACTCTTTGTATCAGACACGTTGTTTCCTCCACACACATCTCTGTACATCACCTCGCATGATCTCCTCTGCTCTGTGCGCTCTCACTGTTGTATGTGTGTGTGTCTCTGTACTCACCCTCCTTCTTCTATGTACACTCTAGTCATCTCAAGTTCCTACCATGTCCTGAGCCTCTTGTTCTCCTGTCTCTTCTGTGTTACCCTAGATGTCACCTCTACAGTCTTAATTCATCCTGTACACCCTAGATGCAGTCTGTCACGGTCTACTATCTCATCTCAGTGATCGTGATAGTGCCACTGTGAACCCACCCCTCTCTCTGCGCACACCACATCTCATCTGACTCTACACTACACACCACAATTCATATAGTGTGATCTATGTGCTGGTCCTCTCCACCTGATGATCTCTCCTCTCCCATATATGACACAATCTCATCAGTGTCCATACCACTCTCTCCACACATTTGTTGCGCATCTTGTCTAGTGTCCCCCTACCCCTCTTGCATGACATCTCCCATATACTCTACATCTACTATCCTCTCTATACAATTGTCCATATACATCGTGCCTGTATGTCCAGTCGATCGCTCCTGTGTGTGTCAGCACCCCCATATACTCGTCACGTCAAACTGACTCTTCACACCACCATCATTCTCTTCTCTCTGTAGTCCCACCTATGTCTCCATGCGCGTCCACCACCACTACTCATCCATAGTTCTTACCGATCCTCTAGAACTCTCCTCAGTCTACATCGTGCTGTGACAGCTCCCCACGATGAATGTGTGTCACCTATCCTCTAGCTCATCATGCTCTCCTATCTTATATCGCTCGTGTGTCTCGCCTCTCTATCCTTAGAGAGTCTGCTCTTATCTCCTACACTACAGTGTGCCACCACCTGACCCCATCCTCCTTGAGTCCTGCTCCCTCTCGTCCCCACTCTCGTGTCACTTACCTAATTAATCTTCATCTGACCCGCCTGACTCCTCGCCTTATGTGTTGATATCTAAAATCCTGTCGTCGCGCCCCCATCATTCGATCAACATCCCCGTCACTCACCTCTAGTATACCCTTGCACCACTTCCCTTGCCTACTGATGGACCACTATCTGACTTTCCCTAACGATAATTCTTCTTATCCTCTCTGCACACTCCTTGTGTCATTCAGTCTTCCACCCTGTCTCCTCCCCGATCTGATTCAACTCAGTGTGATTAAGTTCTCTCGTCTCCATCTCCTCCCGCCTGCTCATCTCCTGTCTCCTCCATCTGACATGTAAGAATGTCCTCCCTTAAAACAGATATCACTCTGTCACACCTTCTATCTCCTATCCCCCATATTCCACTCTCATCACCTCCCACCTTCCTTCCCTTTTCTCCATCCTGTTCCCTAGATTGTCCTGTGCCTAGACGTGCATGTGCCTCTCTACCTCCCTAGTATTGACGCTTGTCTGTGCTGTGTCCGCCCTCATGTCTGCCTATGTATCTTGTCTCACCCTACTGCCTCATGCATCTGTCCCCCCCATGCACTTCTGACACCGCTTCCCGTCTCTCCCTACAGAGTCTCTCACACGATATGTCTGCACCGCTCACCCCCCCCACACACTGGTACAACCTTGTGCTTCCTCTTGTCCTCCAGTCTCACTCCCCCATAGTACTTCACACAGACTACTGTTCATGTCACCCCTCACCCTTGCCTTGTTCCTTCTATACCTCTCATAGTCACTCTCCTCACCCCCAATTCCTGAGATCACTGAGACTCATCTCTACGCACCTACCTGTCTCTGACGTGCTATGTGTCCGTGCGGTCCATCTGACTGTCCAAGAGACTGTTCCACCTCACACTACTGTCAGTCCATCCCTCACCATCCATGTACCTTCATTTCCTTACTCCGTGTCTCACACCATGCTCTATGTCTGCCACGTGCAGTCCACACCCTCACACTATCCTCTCCTTTCTTTCACCTCCTCCTCCCAGAGGTCCTCCTCTCTCCAAGTCACCTCTATCAAATTCTCTTATATATCCTCTCCGTCTCCTCCCACAGAGATTTCTACTATCATTCCTAGTGTCCACTCCCACCTTACTTGTGTCTTCTCCTCTCCCTCCTTCACATTCCCACACTCATCTACCTTACTCCATACTCTCCTTGTGTCCTTCCCACATTGCTCTCACCTTACTTGCCCATAGTCTAGTCCTCCGCCGTCACTTCTGTTGTCTTGTCCTGTACTCCCAAACTGTGTCCTGTCTCCTCTTCGCCTATCTTCCTCCATGTATCTCACAATCTATCTCATCCCTCACCTTCCCACTCCTGTTCTGATTCTCTCTCCTCTCCCCCCATATTCCACACTCATCACCCCCCCACCTTCCTTCCTCTCTCCTCTCCCCCATATTCCCCACACTCATCCCCCCACCTTCCTTCCTTCTCCTCTCCCCCCCATATTCCCACACTCATCCCCCCCCACCTTCTTCCTTTCTCCCCTCCCCCATATTCCCACACTCATCCCCCCCCCACCTTCCTTCCTTTTCATCTCCCCCATATTCATCCCCCCCCCCACCTTCCCTCTCTCCTCTCCCCATATCCCACACTCATCACCCCACCTTCCTTCCTATCATATTCCCTCTCCCCCATATTCCCACACTCATCCCCTCCCCCACCTTCCTTCCTCTCTCTCTCCCCCATATTCCCACACTCATCCCCCCCCACTTCCTTCTTTCTCCTCTCCCCATATTCCCACACTCATCACCTCCCCACTTCCTTCCTCTCTCCTCTCCCCCCATATTCCCACCTCATCCCCACCCACCTTCCTCCTCTCTCCTCTCCCCCATATTCCACACTCATCCCTCCCACCCTCCTTCCTTTTCCTATCCCCCATATTCCCACACTCATCACCTCCCCCACCTTATTCCTTTTCTCCTCTCCACCCAATTCCCACAATCATCCCCCCCCCTCCTCCTTTCCTTTCTCCTCTCCCCCATATTCCAAACTAATCACCTCCCCACCTTCATTTCTCCTCTTCCCCCATATTCACACACTATCACCTACACTCTGTGATTCCGCTGAGACAGATCTGCTGTAATTTCTTAACTCACACTCTCTGTCTCATCACGCTCGCTTGTCACTCCATGTTGCACACCCATCCCCCCCCTACCTTCCTTCCTTCTCCTCGTCACACACCAACACAGATCCATCATATTCTCTCTCCACCTACTCGTTCCGTTCCTTTCTGTACTCTCTCCTCAATTCCCCTATATCACTCGTGCTCACCACTCTCGTACCTGGTCACCTTTCCTTGTGTGCTGACTCTCTCACTCCTCTAGGCCTTTCCAATCACCGTGTCTCTTCCTATCTCTCTCTTACTCTACACCCTGCTCGCATATGCAACATGTCTTACCTTGTCGTCATCCCTACATCCTGTTCCCAGTATACTTAATGACCACCTCTCTCCTCCCTGTCGTTTCATGTTCTGATCCTCTGTACTCTTCGAGTTATTCCCACATACTCTCACTCTCTCCCATCCACGTGTGCTACGTTCGACCATTGTCTCTGTCACTACAACCCATAACTGTTCTCCATCATCCTTCTACTCTCCCCTCCCTCGTCACAACGTTCCTGTACCTGCGTTATCTATCCCTCTCGCACTTTATTCTATTCCTTTCTCAGCCCACTACTCGCCTCACCGATCGCACCCCATCGTGTGTCATTCACCTTCTCTCCGCTCTCCCACCTAGATATCTGTCACCAATCCAATCTATCCACACCCCCTCTTCCACCTACACGTCCCTGAGACAATAGTCCCAATCCGTCGTGTGTCTCTCTGATGTGTCTCTCTTATGCCCATCACACTGCAGATGACACACTCTTCCCCCTAGTCATCTCTGACCCTCGTTGCACTTCGTGTCTCACTTTGTCTATCCCTTTCCGTGTCCCTCAATCTTGACGTTTGTCCCTCCACTACAGCTCGTCGTCTCTAATGATTACGTCGTCTCCCTCTCTTCTCTCTCCCGTGACTCTTCCTGTCTCACTGTGTGTGAATCCATACCGTCTCCTCCGATCATTCACCTTGTGTATATCCTACTCATCCCTGACCTTTAGACCTACATCTAGTCACCAGACCAATCGCTCTACATGCACCATATCTTACTACCTCATGCCTCTATCATCTCAGCACTGTAACCCTGCACTCAGCTCATGAAGAGTGATATCCACATCCTAGTCGTGTGTGTCAATCCCACCATCATCTATGGTACGTTCACTCGCCCCCTGTGAACTTACGCTTGTCCCGTGTGCGTCAACATCTCACGCCGACCCAGATACTGTGTATGGCATGACATCTCATCTAGTAACTAGTTCCCATCCGCACGCCGCCCACTGTAGCACACAAACCTACCCACTCATGTTGCACCTGTCACGACGACTAGTACTCCTCCTACCCCTCACTATCACCTTCTCGTCGTGAATCTCTATAGCTCCCGCTAACTTCCCTGTGATATGCCTCCTCTGAGCTCGTCTCCCACTATACCTGTATGATCAGTATCTTCCACTCCCCTGTTGTGAAGCTGTCTATTTCATTTGTGTCCATATTTTCCTCTCTACGAACTCCATCAACCTCCTTTGTGTTGCCTTGACTTCTTTGTGTACACATAGGAATATTCCGCTGTGTCACAATTTGACATGCAATGTCCTTACTTCTCTCTCTCATCTGTGTACATTCATCATTAGATATGTCATCGTCCGCCACCACATAGAGTGTCACAACCTGTGTCCTACCACCCTATACACTCTCATACCCTCAACTGCGTACAGTGTGTGTATGTGTCTGCAACTCACCGTGTCATCCCTACCACACTTAGCGCCTCCAACTCAAGTCTATCCACGTCCTGATTCACTCAGAATCTGCGTCACCTGTCGCACAAGTGCCACGTATAGAGTCTGTCTCTCACGTACTCTCACTCCTGTATTCTGTAATCGCCTACCTGACTCATCCCAAACCTCTTGTCCTTCATCTACACTTACTTCCTTTCTCCATCCATCACACCACAGGTATACTCATCCATCTCCTCAAGTACAACCCTAACCCACACTCACTTCTGTTCGCAGCTATTCACAGTCTGTCTACTCTGTCTCGCCATAATTGTGGTCTCCACCACTCACTTCACTCTCCAATATATGTGCATCGTTGTACTTGATCCTTCATTGATCTCTGCGTGCTATCATCTCCATTCCTCCTCACTTACTGTTACTCCATCACCCGAACGCACCCGTCTTACCCTGTCAATACCCTATTCTATCAATCTCGCGCCCCTTACCTTGACCGCTCACACTACCTATGCACTCCTCCACGTGCCTCTATAGACCGCACTCTCTCTCGCCCCTCACCACCGCACGCACTCTCATCCGTCGCGCACTCTCATCTCTCTCACACGACCAATACGACACTCTCTGAAATCAACGCTCGCCTCGCGCTCTCTCTACCGTCAATCGCTGCTCTCTCACACCTCTCACGCTCAGAACATCACCGCTATACTCTCTCTCTCCAAAGCGCTCTCTCTCTCACACACTCGCTGCAAACTCTCCACACCTCTCTCATACTTTGTGTGTCTCTTCCACCTCCTCCTATCACTCTCATCTTCCTACTATGTTGACCATATACAAATCCTCCCATCCTGTATAAAACTCAATGCTCCCTTATAAATCTCCATTGTCTCGACTCTCCGCTATGATTTCCTGTCACTCTCCCCCTCCACCCTCCCCTCTCTACTATAGATCCATCTGATCATCGTATCGCTGTTGTCTCCAATATGGCCACACACCCTCCCTATGTATCATACACCCCCACTGTATACTATCCCTCCTCTCTTTAGCTCTCACTCTATGTGCTACTGTGTCACCTGGACCACTCTCCACTCCATCTCATCCGGTCACATGTTGTGTCAGTGTCTATGATTCTCCCTTCATTTTTATAGATTCTCACACTGTACATTCCTACAAGCACCATCCCACCTCTCTCGCCCCAGTGATATCTCCCTTCTCCCCTGTCTCTCACTCATTCTTCAGACACAGCAGACAACCAGCTCTCCACTTCCCACGTTGTATTACTGTAGTGATCTTACTATTAGTCTACCTCCATGTTATCTGTCTCCTCAACTCCACCACTTACCCTCTCCACCACATCATTTGTCATCTGTCTATTGTCACTCCATCCGTCTCTCTTCCTTAGTGTACATCCTTGTCACTCATACCACTCCCACCACACCTAACTGTCCACTCGACTGTGTCCCTGTGTGGTCACCACCTTCTAATACTCTCCACCTACCCCATCCTCATCACTGTTCACCTCACCTCTTTCTTGTCTCATGACCTTCCTCACAACCCATACTTCCTCATACTTCGTCCTCGCCTCTGACCTTCTCTGTCCCGCGACTCTATCACACTATAGTGTGCGAACCTCTCATGCACTACCATCTCCTCGTTCCGTCAATCATACCCCTAATCCCCACACCACTAACCCACCCTCACCTACACCTCTACCACACTCAAGAGTCTTCACTCAATTCCCACACACAACCCTCCACTCCCCATCCCCCCCCACCACCCCCCCAAACCCCACACCCACCACACCTCCACAAAACCACCCAAAACACCACACACCCACCCCCTACACCCCACCCCCCCCCCCAACCCCCCCCCAACCATCAAACCAAACAAAAAAACAAAACACCCCACACAAAAAAAATACTCAAACCAACACACAACCCCAACACCCACCCACCAACCCCAACCCACCCAACCCACAAACCCCCAAAACCCCCCAAATCAAACCAAACCCACCACACCCCCCACAACCCCATACACCAAAAACAACCCCCCCCCCCAACCATATCCACCCCCACCACCCCCCCCCCCCCCCCCCCCCCCCACCACCACCACCACTCCCCCCCCAACCACCCCCCCCACAAACCCCCCCACCCACCCCACCCAAAAAACTCAACCCCCCCAAACCCATAACACCACCCCCCCCCCACCCCCCCCCCCATACCCCCCCAAAACCCAAACCCCCCACCCCCCCAACACCCCCCCCCCCCCCAAAAACCACCCCCCCACCACCCCCACCAACCAACCCACCCCCCCCCACCAAACCCCACCCCACAAACAACCCCCCCCCCCACCCCACCAACAACCCACCACCCCCCACCCCAACACACCCCCCCCCACACCACCCCACACCCCCCCCCCAACCAAACCCCACCCCTACAAACCATACAAAACCCCACACCACTCCACCCCCCCAACCAAAAAACCCCCCCCACACAACCCCCCCCCTCCCCCCACACCCCCCACCCCCACTCCCCCAACCCAACCAACCACCAACACCACCAACCAAACCCACCCCCCCCCACAAACAACCACCAAACCCCCAACCAAAACCCAACCCACCCACCCCCCACACAACCCAACCAACCAACCCCAAACCAACCAACAACCCACCCACCCCCCAACACCCCCCACACCCACACCCCCCCCACAACCCCCACCAAAACCCCACACAAACCCCAAAACCCCCACCCCCCCACCCCCCCCCCCCAACCCCCAACCCCCCCCCCCAACCAAACCCCCCCCACACCCCCCAAAACACCACACACCCCCCCCAAACCCCCACCACCCCCCCCCACCCCCAACAAAACACCCCCCCCCAATCCCCCCCCCCCCCCCCCCACCACACCAAACCCCACCACAACCCCCCAAACAACCCACACCCACCCCCCCCCACCCCCCCACCCCCCCCCCCACCACACCCCCCACCCCCCCCCCCACCACCCCCACCCCCCCCCACAACAACACCCCACCAACCCCCCCCACCCCCCCCCACCCACCAACCCCCCCCACCACCCCACCCCCAACAACCCCCCCACCCACCACCACCCCCACCCCACCCCCCCCAACCACCACCCCCGCCCCCCCACCCCCCCCAACCCCCCCCCCAAACCCCCAACCCCCACCCCAACCCACCACCCCCCCCCAACACACCAACACAACCCCCCAACCCACACCACCCAACACCCCCCCAACCAAACCCCACCAACCCAACCCAAACCCCACAAAACCCAAAAACCACCACCCCCCCCCCCCCACCCCCACCCACCCCCCCCACCCCCCCCCCCCCCCCCCCCCACCCCAACACAACACCCCCACCCCAACCACCCCCCCCCCCCCCCCCCACCCCACCCCCCCCACCCCCCACACCCACCCCCCCCCAACACCCCCAACCCCACCCCACCAACCCCCCCCCCCCCCCCCCCCCCCCCCCCCCCCCCCACCCCACCCAACCACCCCCCCCAACCACCAACCAACACACACCAACCCCACACCAACCCCCCACCCCACCCCCCCCCCACCCCCCCCCCCCCCCCCCCCCCCCCCCCCCCACCCCCCCCCACCAACCCCACCCCACCCCCAAACCCCCCCCCCCACCCCCCCCCCCCATCAACAACACCCCCCCACCACCCCCCCACACACACCCCCCCACCCACACCCCCACACACCCCCCCACCCCCCCCCCCCCCCCCCCCCCACAACCCACAACCACCCACAACCACCCACCCACAACCCCCCCCCCCCCCCCCCCACACCAACCCCCCCCACCCCACACCCCCCCACCCCCCCCCCCCCCCCCCCCCACCCCACCCCCCCCACCCCCCCCCCCCCCCCCCCCCCCCCCCCCCCCCCAAACCTCCACCCCCCACACCCACCCCACCCCCCCCCACACCCCCCCACCCCCCCCCCCCCCCCCACAACCCCCCCCACCCCACCTACCCCCACCACCCACCCCCCCCCAACCCCCAAACCCCCCCCACACACCCCCCCCCCCCCACAAATACCCCAAACCCTCAACCCCCCCCTCACAACCCCTCAAAACTAACCACCCCCCACAACCCAAATCACCACAAAAACACAAAAACCCCCCCACAACAACCAACACCCCCACCCCAAACACACACCACCAACCCCACCACCAACACCTCACCAACACACCCCCCACCCCACCACACACAACACCCCCCAACCACAACCCCACACCCACCACACACCCCCCCACACACACCACAACACCCCCCCCACACCCCCAAACCCACAACCCCACACACTACAACCAACCCCCCCACACCCCCCCCACAACCACCACCCACAAACCACACACCAAACCCCCACCCCCCCAAACACACAACCCCCACCACAAACACCACACACCCAACAAACCACAACCCCCAACCCACCCCCCCCCCACACCAACAAACCAACACCCACACAAACCCACCCTCCCACCAACACCCCCCCCCCCCCCCCCACCCCCCCCCACCCCCACACCCCCAACCCCCCAACCCCCCCCACCAACCCAACCACCCCACACACCCAACCCCACCCCAAACCACCCCCCACACACCAACACCAACCCCCCCCACACCACAACCCCCCCCCCCCACACCCCCCCCCCCCCCACACAAACAACCCCCCAAACCCACAAACCACCCCCCCCCCCACACCCCAACCCCCCCCCATCAAACCAAACACACCAAACCCACCCCACACCCACACCACCCACTCACCCCCACCCCCCCCAACAACACACCCCCCACCCCCACACAACAACATAAAACCCACCCAAACCCCAAACCCAACACCACCACCCTAACACCCCCCCCACCTCCCCACAACCATACCACCTACCCAAAAACACACTCAAACCCAACACCCACACCCCACACCCCCCAATCACCCACCCCCACCCCCAATACACCCACCCCACCCTCACCCCCAAACAAAACCAACACACCCACACAACACCCAACCACCCCCCCCCCCACACCACCACAACCCACAAACCAACACCACCCCCCCCCACAAACCCACACCACCCACCCCCCCCACCCAAAACAAAACCCCCCCCCCCCAAAACCCCAAAACACCCACCCAACCCCCCCCCCACAAACAACACCCACCAAACCCAAACTCCCTCACCCACCCCAAATCCCCCCACCCCAAACCCCCCCCCCAACACCCCCCCCCAACCACCCCCCCCCAACCCCCAAAAACACCAACAAAACACACACCCACCACCCCCCCACCTACCCAACCCCCCCCCACAAAACCCACCAACACATACACACCCCAAAAACAAAAACACAAATCAAAACTCCAAACAACACACACATAAAACCCAACACCCACCCCCCACCCCAACCCCCAAACACAAACCCACACCCCCCCCCACCACAACCACCCCCCCCCCCCCAAACACAAACACCCCACCACACCTCCAAACCCCCAACCCAACACAAACAAAAACACAAAAAAACAAAAACACACACTCACAAAAACAACCACCCAACACACCCCACCCCAACACCCAAAACAACACCCCACCCCCCCCCCCCCCCCCCCCCCCAACACCCCCCCCCCCCCACCCCCCCCCCCCCCCCCCCCCCCCCCCCAACCCCCCCCACCACTCCCAACCCCACCCAACCCCACCCCCCCCACAACCCCCCCCCACCCACACCCCCCCCCCCCCCACCACCCCCCAACCCACCACACCCCCACCCCCCCCCCAAAAACCCCCACACCCACAACCCCCAACAAAAAACCCCCACCCCCAACAAACCCAACACAAAACCCACACCCCAAACACCCCCCCCCCAACCCCCCCCCCACCCCACCCAACCAACCCCCACCCCCACCCCCCCCCCCCCACCCCCCCACCCCCACCCAACCCATCCAACCACCCCCCCCCCCCCCCCCCCCCCCCAAACCCCACAAACCACTAAAAAACCACCCCACCACCCCACCCCCACCCCCCCCACCACTACCCCCCCAACCCCACACAACCCCCAACACCCCAACCACAAAAACACAAACCCCCCCACCACCCCCCCCAACCCACAAAAACACCCCCAACCAACCCCCCCCCCCCACACCAACCCCCAACCCAACCCCACCACCAACACCCCCACCCCCCCCCCCACCAACCAACACCCCCCCCCAACCAACACCCCCCCCCAAACCCCCCACCACACCCCCCCTCCCAAAACAAAACCCACCAATCAATCACCACCCCCCCCCCCCCCCCCCCCAACCCAACACCCAAACAAACACACACACCCCCACCCCCCACACACCCACCACCCCCCCCCCCACCAACAAAAACCCCCCACACAACAAAACAAAACAAACAACACCAACAAACCCACAAACACCCACCAACCCCCAACCCCCACCCCAACCCCCACACACCAACACCCCAAACACACCACCACAAAACCCCCCCCCCCCCACCCCACCAAAAACACCAAACACCCACCCCCCCCCAACCCCCCAACCACACCCCAACCCCCACTAACAACCCCCACCCCCCCCCCCCCCCCCACCCCCCCACACCCCCCAACAACACAAAACCCCCCCCACACACCAAAAACAACCAAAAAACCCCCCCCCCCACACCCCCAACCCCCACAACCAACCACCCCCCCCCCCCCCCCCCCCCCCCCACCCAACACCCCCCACACACCCACCCCCCCCCCCAACCCAACAACCCCCCCCCCCCCCCCCCACCCCCCCCCAAACCCCCCCCCCAACCCCCCCCCCCCCCCCCCCCAACAAAAAAAATCCCCCCCCCCCACCCCACCCACCCCCCCCCCCACCAAACCCCCCAAACAACCCCACCCCCCCCCCCCACACACCCCCCAACCCCAACCCCCCCCCCCCCCCCACCACCACCCACCCAACACCACCCCCACCCCCCCCCACCACACCACCACCACCAACCCACAAACCAAACACACCACCCCCCACCCCACCCCCCCCCCACCCCCCAACCCCCACACACCCACCCACACCCCCCAAACCCCCCACACCCCCCCCCAACACACACCCACAACCCACCCCCCCCCCCCCCCAACCCCCCCCCCCCCCCACACCCCCCCACACACCACCCCCAAACCAACCCCCACAAACAAACCCAAACCCACACTAACTACCCCACCCACCACCACCCCCAAACCCAACAACCCACACCACACCACCACCATACACCAAACCCCCAACCACCCCCCCCCCCCCCCCCCCACACACAACCCCCAAAACCCCCACCAACCCCCACAACCACCCCCACCCCAACCACCAACACACACCCCCAACACCACCACAAACCCCCCCCCACAACCCCCCACAACAACCCACAACCCCCCCCCAACCCCAACCATACCCACCCCCCCCCCCCCCCACAATCAAAACCCACCAAAACCAACCCAACCCCCCCAACCCTAAACCCCCACAACCCCCCACACCCCCCCCACCAAACCCCCAAACCCCAACCCAACCAACAACCCCCCCCCCCCCCCCACCCCCACCACATAACAAACAAATACCCAACCCAAAACCAAAACTAAACAATCCCCCCCAACCACATACATCCCCCCCCCCCCAAACTCATCCAACACAACCCACTCCCCCCTAACTAACTCAACCCCCTACTCCCCACACACCCCCTAAATACCCCCACATTTCAACCAAACATACCAACCAACCCTACCCCCCACCAACCCCCCCAAATCCCCACCACAATATCATACCCCAACCACCAACCCCACCCCACCCCCCCCCCCCCCCCCCCCCCCCCCAACACCCCCCACACCCACAACAATAACCCAAATCTTCTAAAAACCCCCCCCACAAACCCCATCCACCACACCCCCCCCCCCCCCCCACCCCCCCCCCACACCAACACCAAACCCCCCCACCCCCCCAACCCCCCCCCCCCCCCCCCACCACCACCCCCCCCACACCCACCAACCCACAACCCACAACCACCCACCCACCCCCCACACACCCCAACCACCAAACACACACCCCACCAAAAACCAACCCCCACCCCCCACACCCACCCAAACCCCCCACCCCCCCCCACCTCCCACCCCCCCCCCCCACCCCACCCCCCCCACCCAACCACACCCCACCCCCAAAAAACAAACTATACCCCAACAACCACCACCCCCCAACCCCCCCAAATATAAACCAACAACACCCCCCCCCCAACCCCAACACAACCCCACACACCCCAACCACCCCAACACCCAACCCCCCCCCCACACCCCCAACCACCCCAAAAAAAAACCACATCACAAAAACCACCCCAAACCACAAAACTACAAACCCCACCCCCCACCCATACCAACCAAAAAACCACCACAACCCCCCCCACACCAAACCACAAACAAATCCCCCCACCCCCCACCCCCCCCCTAATCAAACCCCCAAACCCCCACAATCCACTCAAATCCCAATACCCACAAACCAAACCCCCACCCCCAAACCCACCACCCCAAACAAACCCCCAACCCCCCCCACATACCCCAACTCACTCTCCAACTACCACACACACTCCTCCAATCCTTCCCCCCCCCCTCCTACCCAAAACTTCATCATTCCATAAAATATCCACATCACCCCCCTCCCCATTTCACATTTCCACTCCCTCAATTAATATTCCCTATTCCCCCCCCCATACCTCTTCATCATTCAAAATCCTCAATATAATATATCCCACCTCCATCAACCCCCCAAAAACACCTACCCCATCACCCCAAACCCCCCTCCTCATCTCAATAAACCAATACATCACCTAAAAAATTACCCTCCCCTAATAACACACATACCCCCTCCTCCAACTACCCCTAAACCATAAATCCTACCATCAACCCTCCACTTCCACCACCCAAACCCCCCATAAAACCCCAACTCCACCACCCCCTCCACCCCCCCCACCCACCCCAACAAACCCTCATCCACAACACCCTATATTTTACCCCACCACCAACAAAACTACCCCAACCAACCCCTCTTACCCCCAATCATACCCCCTCTTATCCACCTACAATTAAAAATATACTCACACCCCCCAATCCCACTCACACCCCAAAAAACCCTCCTACTTCCCCCATTCTCACAACCAACATCCCCAAACCACCAATACACCTCCACCACTCCCAACCCCCCCCCCCATCCACTCAAACCCTTTCCCCACCCCACCCACTCACATTTCCCACACCACCCCAACCCAATCAAACTTAATAACCCCAATTACTCCACAACCCCACCCATTACTCACCCCAATACCCCATAACCCCTCCCCACAACCCACCCACCCACCCAAAACCCCACCTCCCCCCCCCCCCCCTCCACACATCCAACCAACCCAAAATACACACATACTAAATCCCCCCCCCCCCCACACCTCCCACCCTATCATTTACTCCCTTCCAATTATCCCACAAAAAACACCAACCCCCCCCACATAAACACACACCCAACATCTCACAATTTTAACATAAACAAAATACCTCCATACAACACCCCCTACCCCACCCCCCACCCTCATTCACCTACACCTTTCACAATAAAATATCTCACCCCCCTCCTACCTCACCCCATCCATCCTAAACATCTACCCTTCTTCTACCCCCCCATTCTATATTCATACTCACACAATATACTTATTCCTCCCCATCCCAAAAAACCATATCCCCCCCTCCAATACATCCCACACATCCCACACCATTAATACTTCATAAAATACACCCATACACCTAAAAAAATATAACCTACCCATCCCCACATAACCCCATTCATCTCTTACCCAATTAATCCAACATAATCTTCAACCCCCTAAAACTCATTTCCTTAACAAATCCCATAAATATTCAAAAAACCACACATTCCCTTCTCTTATTCCCCAAAATACAATCCACCCACCTATCCCCACACCCCCCCATATAAAAAATCACACACATCCCCCATCATCTATTCTTCCTACCAAACAAACCACAACTTTTAACACAATTAATTTCCCCTTATCCACCCTCATTTAACAATCATAATTCAAAATACCCCACTCAATTATCCCCATACATCCAACATAACTCAATCCCCCCCCCACCCCACCTTCTATTTAATCCCCAATATTATTCCCATAAAAATTACCCAACACTACCCACCCCCCTCCTCCTCCCCACCCCTTCCCTTACCCCTTCCAAAAACCATCCCTCTCCCTCCCAAATCCTCCCATCATCTCAAATACTTCCCCCACCATCATACATACCCCCCCATATACAACCTTATACTTCACATACATCCCATCCAAACTCCCCCCAATACCATACATAACTCCCACTCTAACCCCTCTGCCCCCCCCTCACCCCATCTCCACCACCCCTTATTCCCCCACCCCACATAATATTTCTTTCCATACACATATATTTATACAATACCACCTTCCCCAATTTTCACATTCCCCTCTCATTTCCATCATCCCAAATCATATACATATAATTCACCACCTCCCTATCTAACCCCCACCCCAACCTCCAAAATCACCCTCCCCCTGTGTGAGTTCCGTCATATTTAGCTAGTAATCATCCACAGTACTGCCCCGTGTATTTCCCACACATCGTAACCTCACCGATGTCCACACTCCTGTTGTCTCTCTCTAATCTCTCTCGGTGATACATGTCTCTGTGTCCACTCCTAATCTCCTCTTCCCCCTCCACCTTCTTTTTCTATCTCTCTCCCCACTCTATGTCTCTCGTCAATCAGTACTGTATTTCCCTATCCCCCTGTCCCTTCATCTGTGTATCCTGCTCCCCAATCGGTCTTCTATCATTAACAAAACGATGTGTTCGTCTACCACCGTTGTCCTTGTCTTTCTCCTGTCCTCCCCCATATTCCCACACTCATCATACTCACCCACCTTCCTTCATCTCCCTGTCTCGCACTCCTACACTCGCACGTCTACTCTCACCGCAGCACCTGTTCCACAACGCGTCTCGGTTCTCTCTGACCTACCACTCTCTAGTACTTTCATACATCACTTCATATCCAGATCCACTTATCTCTCATTTCGCACTTTCTCCCTCGTCCATATTGTCCCACAGCATCTCATCTCCACACCCACTCGTACGCGTGCCGCGCGATTGTACGTCTCATCATCGAAGCATACACACATATGTTCCCCATCGTTGTCTCTACATCCCAACTCCTTCCTACATCCTACTCACAGATCCCCTGATGTGCACATGAATAATCACACTCACCACAGCTTCTCGTCTGTCTGTGATCTATAAGTTTACTCCATATTGCAAACAGTGAGTAGACACTACACTACCCGTGTATTGTCTGTAAGCTGCTTTCTCCTTCCCCCATCATTTCCACTACCACTCACTTCCTCTCACTCTCACTCCTCTATCACCTCAACTGTTCACCCTTCTCCTTCATCCTTCCTCTCTCTCCTATGATTTCTAGACTCTCACCACTCACCTCAGCATCACTTAATCCACACCAAGCCAAAATCCACTGTCCCTTTTCCCCTTTTTTCTCTCTCCTCTACCCCCATATTCCACACTCATATCCCCCCCTCCTTCCTTCCTGTTCTCTCTATCGTCACCCAAATGATGTGTGTCGTAAAGTCTCACTCTCCCTCCCCAGTCTGATCCGTTGTTTCCTGTCTGTCTTCATCTTTTCATCTGTCATCATTCATTGCACTCCTCATACTCCTGTGTGCTGTTAATGTGCGTCCTTCTCTTTGAATTCCCCTGAATGAGCATCAACCTGTGTCCCCTACTCATTGACTCGTGTTCACTCCACTACACTCACCTCTGTCCACACTCTCGCACTCTCACTCTCACTAGTGTCAAATAGAAAACTATCCTCCCTACATATCTTCACATACCAAATTATCACAAACTCTCTCTCTCTCTTTACATCACCACATAAGAGATAAGGACCATGCCCATCTCTACCACGTGAACTCCACACTCCACTCCATCCTGTAGTCTCTCCCTCGTGTTCTAGCCTCTCGCCTCTCTCGACCATCTCACTCTCAGTGGCACCTCCACTCCATCAACAGTCTTCTTCCCGCGCTGCTCTCTCTTGTCACTACATATTCCCTCCAACTGTTTCTCCCCACACCCTCTCTCATGTACACTGCGCCCTCAGTATACCCACCGTCACCACATCTCCTCTGCTCACTCAACTCCCCATCACCCTACGCCTACACGAGTATCTATGTGACACACTTTGACTCATGCTACTCACGCTCTCCCATATTCGTTGACCCAACCTACTCCTCTCTGCCTCTGTCTCCCTCATCCTGAGATCCAAATACGCTCGCTCGCCTGCCTGTTCTCCTCCACTTTCACTACATCTAAGTCGATCACTACTGCCATCACTACCTTACTACTCTACTGTACACCCCTACTGACCACTGCTCACACTTAAATATGATCCTCATTGCTTAGTCCCCCATCATCTCACGAGAACTCTCTCCTCTCACTCCACTTTTAGTACACAATTCCACTATCCATGACACTCCCCGCCCCTCCTCTCTCTCCGCTTGCCTACTCTCTCATCCTGCTCTTCTCCTCCATCTCATCGTTATCCCACACACACTTCTTGTAGTCGTCTCTGTGCTACTCTCACCCCCATGATCTGTCATCCTCTCATCTGTCATTCTCAGTGTTGTCCATCCCTGTGACCATACTACACTCTCTTCCCCCCCCTACTGCACCTATCTCGTCCTCTCTTGTTCCTCCACCCCAACATAGACTCGTCTACCTTCACCTTGCCACCCTATCCTACTGTGTATGTTCCTCTACCATGATATTGTTAAACATGCCACCACTCCACTCATCACTCACTCCATGTGTACGTGTGCCACTTCTTCCTTGTTGTCCCCAGTTTCTTCCACACTCTATGTCACCCTACAACCCCACCTCCCACAATGTCATGTGTGTTCTCCCCTCACATGTGCCCTCTATATTTATCCCACTACTCATCTGTCCCCACTCTCTCTCATCTGTCTCGCGTCGCACTCCACATGCTCTCCCCATATTCCCACTATATCATCTCTGTCTCCACCTCGATCATATGTTTCTATCTCTATTCTGCCACCCCTATACAACATGTGTATTGTTCACCTCCACTATATGGTCACTCCATCCTCCACCACTAATATTGTCCTCTCGCCCTCTATGTCTCCTCCAGTCCCCCTCCGTCTCTTCCTTACAAGTTAAGTGCCCAATTCTCTGTCCACTACGTTTAGTGTCTTGCCAATACTCTATCTCTCATCTACTCTATTCCTTCCCTGAGCCAACGTAATGCCCCTCCTCCCACATCTCTTCTCGTCGTCATGTCACTCCACTCCGTCCCCTCCATATGTCACACAGACTCATCCTCCCACCCGTCTACCCATATACATATTGTCGCTCCCCTTTCATCTCTCGTTCATCGTCGCCCTTCTTTACCCTGTGTCTGCCTTGTCGCTGTTCTCGTGTTCTGTCTCATTCAGCTCCTCACCCCATACCCCCACCTCTCCGCCCCCGTTCACACCTCAATTACCCTACAAGTCACCCTGTCTTCCTGTCCCCCCATAAATTCCACCCCACATTAACCTATCTAAACATCTAACCTGAAAGTGTCACCCTCCAACGTCTCCCACTATCAGACCTACACACCAAAGCTCCCAATCCATATAACATCTCCAGATATCACATTCCCAACAATGTCTCATGTAACATCACAACACTTCACCCAAAACACTCAAACCTATCTCCCCCCTAATAGTACCATCCATTGTACAAAATCCAAAACTCCTCACCACTGACACATCTACCTTAATCTCAAGTGTACTCCATCACGCCTATACGACCATCCATCTACACTACTGTACTAAACTCCACACACTTCAGTCCTCTCTGACTCCCAATCATTTCCTTCATCATACTCTCACTCTCCCACCCCTACCAATACATCTCTCTCGTTCACACCCTCCCCACATCCCTATCCCTACAACCACCAATCCTTCTGCACCCCAACTCCCTATATACTTTATTATCGTCCTACGTTAATCTACGTGTTTCTTTCTCGATGATGTCACCCACGCTGTCAATCTCCTATAGTGACTATGTGTGTGAGAGTCCTTCTCACCAATAGCTGTATCTATATAGACTATACCTCAGTGTTCCATACTCAAGTGTATACACATCACCACCTCACCGCACCGACCCACTCCCCCCTACACCGTCCTCTAACGCTGCTCCCTACTGATCCCTCTTGTACATCATTTCCTCTTTCCCTGTATACCATCTCTCAATGTCTCCTACCCCATGTCCCTCTGATCTATGCAGTTCTCTA